TTTTTTTTTTTTTGAGTTGGAGTCTCACTCTGTCTCCCAGACTGGAGTGTAGTGGCCGCTCCCGGCCACCGCAGCCTCAAACTGCTGGGCACCGGCGATCCTTCTGCCTCAGCCTTCCGAGTACTGGAACTACAGGCGTGCGCTACCACGCCCGGCTAATTTTTTGATTTATTATAGAGATGAGGTCTTGCCAAGTTGCCCAGGCGGGTCTCGAACCTGCGGGCTCAGGCAATCCACTCACCTTGGCCTCCCAAAGTGCTGGGATTACAGGCTGAGCCACCGAGTCCAGCCCTCTAGGTTCTGTTAATGTTTGCTTGGTATATTTGGATGGTCTGATGTTAGGTGCATATACAATAATAATTGTCTAATTATATCCTCCTGCTGTGCTGCTGCCCTTTATCATTATTGAATGACCTTCTTTGCTTTTTTTTTTCCTACTGTTCTTGACTTAAAGTCTATTTTATCTGATATATGTATAACTACTCTTACTCATTTTTGGCTTCCATTTGCATGGAATTTCTTTTTTCATTTGTTCGCTTTCAATCCATGCATATCTTTATAGGTGAATTGGGTTTCTTGTAGGCAGCATAGTTGAGTCTTATTTTTTTAATTCATTGACCCACTTTATATCTTTTAATTGGAGAATTTAATTCATTTACATTCAAGATTATTATTGATAAGTAAGGACTTACTACTGCCATTTCATTACTTATTTTCTGGTTGTTTTGTAAATTCTTCCTTTCTTACTAATTTTTTTTTTGAGTTGGAGTCTCACTCTGTCGCCCATACTGGAGTGCAGTGGCCGTTCCCGGCCACCGCAGCCTCGACCTGCTGGGCTCCGGCGATCCTTCCGCCTCATCTTCCCAAGTAGCTGGAATTACAGGCGTGCGCTACCACGCCCAACTGATTTTTGATTTATTGTAGAGATGAGGTCTCGCTGCCCAGGCGGGTCTTGAACTCGCAGGCTCAGGCAATCCACTCACCTCAGCCTCCCAAAGGTGCGGGATTACAGGCTGAGCCACTGAGCCCGGCTTTTCTTATTATTTTTTCTTAATGGTTAAGTGATTTTTCTCTAGTAGTATATTTTGATTTCTTGCTTTTTATTTTTAGAATATCTGTGATAGGTTTTTGCTTTCTGGTCACCATGAGGCTTACAGAAATCATAGTTATAATAAGTTATTTTAAACTGGTGACTTAACTTCGATTGCAAAGAAAAGGAACAAACAAAAACCTCTGTACTTTAACTCCATTTCCCCCCACATTTTGACTTTTGGATGTTTCAATTTATATCTTCTTACGTTGCTTATTTCTTAACAACTTGCTGTGGTTATTATTTTTATAGTTTTGTCTTTTAGCTTTCATGCTAAAGATATGAGTGGTCTACACACCACAGCTATAATATTATAGTATTCTAAATTTGTCCATATGTTACTTTTACCAGTGAATTTTATACCTTCAAATGTTCTATTTTTTGTACATTATTATCCTTTTCTTTCGGATTAAAGAACTGCCTTTAGTGTTTTCTGTAAGATAGGTCTAGTGGTGATGAATTCTCTTGGCTTTTGTTTGTCTGGGAAAGTCTTTGTCTCTTCATGTCTGAAGGAAAGTTTGGCTGGGTAAAGTATTCTTGGTTGACAGGTTTTTTTTCCCCCTCCTTCCAAATTTTGTGTCATCCCACTCCCACCTAGTCTGTAAGATTTCCACTGAGAAGTCTGCTGCCAGACCTGTTGTCACTCCTTTACCTGTTTTTTTTTTTTTTCTCTTGCTTTTAGGGCCTTCTCTTTGTCCTTGACTTCTTAGAGTTTGATTTTTATATACTAGTCTTATTTGAGTTGAACTTGGTTAGTAACTTTTGACCTTCCTGTACCTGGATATGTATATTTTTTTGCCAGGTTAGGAAAGTTTTCTGTTGTTATTTCTTTGAATAAACTTTCCATTTCTATTTGCCAGGTTTGGAAAATGTTCTGTTATTTATTTGAATAAACTTTCTATTTCTTTCTAATTCTCTACTTCCTTTTGAATGCCTATGACTCTTTTGATGCTGTCTCATAGATTCTGTAAGCTTTTATTATTCTTTTTCATTCTTGTTTCTCTTTCTCTGTGTATTTTCAAATATTCTGTCTTTGAGCTCACAGATTATTTTTTCTGCTTTATCAGTTCTACTGTTGAGATCCTCTAATGCACTTTTGTTTGCTTGGTGTATTTTTTAGCACCAAGATTTTTGTTTGTTTTTTTAAGATTATTTTTATCTCTTTGTTAAATTTCTCTGATAAATTTCTGAATTGTTTCTCTATGTTTTCTTCAAGTTTATTGAGATTCCTCAAACAACTATTTTGAATTCCCTGTTTTAGAGATCATACATCTCCATCGCTGCAGGGTGGTCACCAGCACCTTATTTAGTTGGTTTGGTGAGGTCATATTTCCTTGAATGTTCTTGATGCTTGTAAATGTATGTTGACATCTGTGCATTGAAAAAAATTTAAATTTGGTCCAATATTTGCAGTCTGGCCTTGTTTGTGCCTGTCATTCTTCAGAAGGTCTTCTAAGAATTCAGTGTAAATTGACTGAATTCACTAAAACTTTGGTCACTGTAGCCATTACAGCACTAGAGGGCACCCTAGGCCTAGGTTCACTGTGGTGTTCCCACAGATGGAAATCCCCAGCCCTGATGAACCTGGGGAAGACCTTGGAAGGGTTCTTGAGCTGTGTGGTAATACTGGCCAAGCACCTTAACCCAGTGCTGTGGTGGGCTCTGTACTGTACAAGACAATACAAGGCAAAGTTCCATGCACAATTCCTTCTTCCCCCAAGCAGGTGATATCTCCCTCTGCACTGTGTTACCTGAAGTTGGGGGGAGGAGTGGCATGGGCAATCCCATGGCCACTGCAACTGGCACTGTGTTGGTTTGTACCCAAAGCCTACAGCCTCCCAGATCAGGGTAGCAACAAAGTACACCCAAGGTCTATGGTCACTGCCATGGTGAAATTTATTTGGGGCCTAATGCCACTTTAGTTGTGCAATGGTGATGTGGACTGAAATTTGTCCTGCTGGGGTGGTGAATTGTTTCCTGTGCTTGGGGCAAGTCTAGAATATTTGTCCAATAGGCACTGGCCTGGAATCAGGCTGTGGAGTTTTGTCTGGTGCTGTGTTTTACTGCGACAAGTGACTGGTTCTTCCACCATGACAATACACCTACCCATGCTACACTGAGTGTTCAGCAGTTTTTGACCAGAAATGGCATGATCCCTGTGTCCCACCCTCCGTATTCACCTGTTCTCACCCCAGCAGACTTTTTTGGTTTTCCTGGATGAAAAAAGTCCTCAAAGGGAAATGTTTTGTCAGTGTGGAAGCCGTGAAGCAAAAAATGGCAATAGTACTAAAAGCATCAAAATTGACAAGTTCAGAAACTGTTTTGAGCAGTGGAAAAGGTGTCCCAATGGGTGTATTGCATCAAATGGAGAATACTGAGAAGGTGACTGCCATTTAAGCATGTAAGAATAAATACACAATGTTTAAATAAATAAATTCCTTTTTTTTGGTCCCTCCCCCTTGTATATCTTTGATCCACAAAGCATAAAGGATTGATTCATTTTGGCATGACCTATGAAATGGGTGTCTGATATAATCTTTTTTCAGATGGCTAGTTAGTTGTCTTAGCAATATGTATTGATTAATTTATGGATATTATTTTTATAATAATAATTTATGGATAATTTATGGATTTTATTTTTGGAGCACTGGGAAAAGATAAGATCACCTGGGAGTACAGAGTGAGAAAGTAGAGCCCAGGCCTGAATTTTGAAAGAATCCCAAATATATCAGCTGATAGTTGAGGAGGATGAATCAACAAAAGAAGCTGCGAAGGAGCACCCAGAAGGAGGGGAAGCCGGGAGCCTGAGGATGCAGGAAATGAGTCTCTCAGTAAAAGGAAGAGACTGGCTGAGTTGAAGCTTGCTGAGAGATTGAGGAAGATGAGAACCTAAAGTCGGTCAGCAGATCCAGCCACGTGGACATCATGGACCTTGGTGACTGTATTTGCAAGAGTGGTGACGGCAAATGCTAGGTTAGGGCAGGTTCAGAAGTGAGTGGGATGTGGGAGATGGCACACAGTGGCAGCCCTTCCAAGGAGCTCATCTGTTAAGGCGGGAGATTGAGGATGGTCTCAGTGGGGGAGGAAGGGGCATCAAAGATTTTAAAGATGGGAGAAATTTGTCCATGCTTCCGTGCTGATAGGAAGGACCCAGTGAAGAGGAAGCGGTGGAGGCAGCTAGTGAAGAGAGAGATGGTCGATGATGCAAGGCTGCTGGTGGAGGCATGAGACCTAAACCTGAGGCAGGAGGGGGCATGGAGCTGGAACTGTCTGTTCACCCCTTCTTACTGTCTTCAGAGTGGGAACAGGCTAGAAGTGCTGATATATGTAGGATGGTGGGTGCCTCTTGAACCAGCAGAGGTCGAGAGTCTTGTCACTGAGGACTGCTGAGCTGAAGGTGTGGTGACCGTGTTGCAGATCCAGAGGGTCATCCCTAGTTGGCTACACATTAGGACCTCAGCTGCAGCCCTGGGGCAGGATCCAGGGGTTGGGCTTTTCACAGCTCATTGTTTCTCTTCCCATCCCATCTTCCACTTTGGCTTTGCTCATTGCCTACACTCAGCCCCCTCCAGCCACAGCTTCATTTCTGTTGCCACGGTGGAGCACATGGCACCCCTCACTGACTCCCAGGGACCCCCCGCTTGGCAGGCTGGCAGAGTACCCGGTTGTTCTGATCCCTGCTAGAACTCTCCTACAAGCAACTTTTAAGACTTGAGGGTGAGGAGAGATTGTCCAGATGCTCATTTCCATTGCTGTCTTCTGGAGGGGATATCTAGCCCTGTCATCCCCACCCCGAAGATCTTTCAGTGGCGCCATCACATTGGAAGCTGTTGGGTGCAGTTGAGAGGCAGAGGAAAGAATTCTGTGCTTGCCATTTGGTTCTTTGTCCTGAGTACCCTCTGTTCTACAGGGGGACACAAGCCTGCCTGATTCCAGGGATGCCTGGATAGGGGATAGACAGGGCCGTTCTGCAGTGAGAAACAGTCATCTGTACCTGGCTGGCTCTGCCTGGAAGAGCGCAGCCTACGGTGAGTGGCGGGGAGGGTGGGGCAGAGCCACCTGCCTGGTTTGGGGACTCGGGGGCTGGTGCCTGCCGGACTGTAGGGAGTCACCGCCTCAGGGCATCAGCCTCGTCTCTCTGCCGGGTTGCCTTTGCCGTGGGGGCCCTGCTGCTCATCATCGAGAGCCTCCTGTTTCTCATAGGCCATAGAGCCTCCCTGGGCAATTGCTGCTGTTCTGCATCCAGTCTGTTCAGCTTGGGGACCTGCTTTTCCTCCTCCTCCTACCAGGATTTGGCCAAGCACATTGTGGACACGTCTGTGGCCGACGTGAGTGACTGCGCCCACTCACCCCACCATTCCTCTAGCCAGACCTCTGCTGGATGGGGAGGAAGAGAAAGGAGGAAAAGAGCTGGGCAGATCAGGGCCGCCAAGGCTTGTGGCCTCTTGGTGGCTCTTCATCTTGAGCAAAGGGGAATTCAGTCAAATGCAGGCAGACTAGCCAGGGGCCTCTTGTGTACGGTGCTTATTGATTGATTTGGGTGTGGCCACTGTGTCCCCAGGTCATGACTGCTTGTTCAGATAACCTGCACAACCTCTTCAGCCACCAGGCAACAGCTGGCTGGAAGTAAGTTCCTTTGCAATGTCTCGACCCCAGCTCTGCCCTGCTTGGCTTCCCTTCTCCTTTCTCTTCTCTGCCCTAGCTTCTTTGAGTCTTCCCCTGAGCTCCCTTTTGTGACCTTGGAAGCCATTTTTTTCCTCCCCCCTTTCCTATCCTTGGTGTTTCCCCCCAGCTATCAGGGTGAGGAGGAGGCGGTGCAGATTTACTACAAGGTGTTTTCTTCTACTCGTCACGGCTTCCTGGGGGCAGGTGTGGTGTCCCAGCCGCTGTCTCATGTGTGGGCAGCTGTGAGTGACCCCACCCTGTGGCCCCTGTATCACAAGCCCATCCAGACAGCAAGGCTGCATCAGCGGGTGACCAAGAGCATCAACCTGGGTAAGCCCAGGGAAGGATGGCTTCCGTGGGGCATGGTTTCTGGCATGTCCAGTGGGTTCTGGCCAGGGGACAGAGGGAGAGGATTGGAGACAGACCTCTTAGGAGGCCAGGTATTCAGGCTGCCTTCAGATTGCTCGGCCTAGGTCTAGCTAGGTGTTAGGTTATGGAATGATGGGGAGATAGAGGGCTTCTGGGCCAGGAGGGATTTAGGACGAGGGCTGTCCATGGGCCTCTTGACTCCTCCTTACCCCTGTGCCTCCAGTGTACTTGGTGTGCAATTCCGCCCTGTGTGCGTTGAAGCAGCCACGGGATTTCTGTTGCGTCTGCGTGGAAGCCAAAGAGGTACCTGCCTTGTTGTTGGTAACGGTGTTGTGGGAAGAACCCGGGCTGAAATATTGTGAGAAACAGTCTCTGTGGGTGTTAGGTCCTTTAGGGGGAGGGCACATTGGGACTGAAGCCAGGGAGGGAGTGGCCTGAAGGCTGGTCCAGTGTTGCCTTCCACCATACTGTCTACAGGCTTGAATCTGTTTGTTTTGTTCACACTGCACAGGCAGGACTCACATCTCTATCTGTCCTCAGGGCCACCTGTCTGTCGTGGCAGCTCAGTCTGTGTATGACACATCCATGCCAAGACCCAGCAGAAAAATGGTTCGAGGGGAGATCCTGCCCAGTGCCTGGATCTTGCAGCCTGTCACTCTTGAAGGGAAGGAAATCACCAGAGTCATCTACTTGGCCCAGGTGATAACCCCCTTATAGGCAGCCTCACAGCCCCGTGGGGTTTTTCTGGCCAGCTGTTAAACATTTTTCAGTGCCCAGGCCCTTTGATCTGAGCTGGAGACTTGGGGGCTTCTTGGGCTTGCAGTAAGGAGAGCCAGTAAGGAATGGAAGAGGAAGGAACGAGACAGTTTATCAACCTTTTTGAAGCTGTTGTTGCCAGAGACCTAGCAGCCTACATCCTATGGCTGATCCTGGGGTCCTTAGGAGATGGAGGGGGTCATTGTGAGGCAAAAGCAGCAGCCTGGCAGAACAGAACGATGACTCATTTGTTCAGCTCTTCACTCCCAGTCCCTGGCTTGAACTTTGTCATCGAGGAGTGATCTGAATAGCAGACCCGGGGCCTGAAACCCCCAGGCGAGAGTCTGAGGTGTGACTCTCATCACCATGGGTGAGGGTGGCTACTTGGCGCTGGTGTGCCCTGGCACACTCTCTCAAGTCTTTTTGCACTATAACTCTTTCCTCTCTGCTTTCAGGTAGAACTTGGTGCTCCAGGCTTCCCCCCTCAGCTCCTGAGCTCTTTTATCAAACAGCAGCCGCTGGTTATAGCCAGACTGGCTTCCTTCCTTGGTAGTTAGCATCTCACCATCAAGATGGTACCGCTGAGATGCAGCCCCAGGATGTTCCAGAGACACTGTGGCAGCTCCTCGCTATTTTCTGTACCCTGGTGTAAGAAGAGCTGAGGCTTTGCTAGCCGCTGTGCCCGACTGGGCAGACAGCACTGAACCAGGGTTGCCAGCAAAGCTGTCAGAACTTGGTCTCAGCTGGCGCCGCTTCAGAGCAAATGGCCTGAGCTCCGGGCCTAGCTGTCTAAATGAAGCTTGACTCACCTTTGGGATTTCTCACCTTCATTTCCTGTCTCTGGGACTCTGGCAGACAGGCCACCCAAGCACCTGGATTGGGCATGGCCAGCAGAGCACAGACTGCAGTGCTTTGGCAAGTTGATTCCTCAGGCTGGTAGGGAAGCAAGCAGCTGTTGGCCAAGACGGCACTGAATCTACCTCCAGCATTCCACTCCACTGTGTGATGGAGTGTTTGGAAATACCAAAATAGTCAGAAGGCTTAAAAAACAGCTGCACAAACCAGAACACTGATTTAGAATCTTTTCTCCCCCTTGAATTTTTGCTTATTGCTTTATTATTCGTTTTTACTTTTTTCCCCCCTTTCCTCCCAGGAGAGGATGTTTGGGTCTCTGCACCAGCATCAAGAGTGTTAAGTGATGTCCTGTTACAGAGCTGTTAATCTGGAGCTCAAACGGAAGACACTAGAGCCAGGTTGGACAGATTTGGGTCAGGGTGGGAGTCTAGCCTTTGAGGACTGGGGGTGAGGGTGGCAGCGGATGTTGGTTGCTAACAAGGCAAGAGGAATTTTGAAGACATTGAAAATTATTCTTTGAAGATGGGAGAGAAGATAAATGTGCTCTCAGAGGAGGTAAGCAACTTGTTGAGAGGATGCCTCCATGCTGTCTTATCTCATTTGGAGGTGTGGTGTCTTGCACCTTAGCCTGGCTGAACGTGAGCTCTGAATATTCTATATGTTTACCTGGACGTGATAGGAGTGGGAGAGAGCCCCATCTTTAGTTCTGGTGCCCAAATCTTTGGTAGAAGAGGGTAACCCTATGGGGATTGAGATGTGGCAAAAAGGGTAAATTTCTGTAGAGTGTGGCAGAAATATCTTTTTCTAAGCGTTTGCAGGTTTTTTTCCTCTTACCTCAGATTATTTATATATTATTGATTGAAGGTTTTTTAAAAATTTACTTTTAAACTTTTATTTTTCTGGTCAATTTTTTTTTGGTGACAGTGTACTTAACACTTTCTTTATGTATGCCCACCTATTTTCATGTAAATCTTACTAAAATTATTGACCAAAAAGGTCAGAACATTTGTAAATTAAAAGTCCTATGCATCTTCTATCTAGTGAAGAGTATCCTGGAATAGCCTAAGTGTGTCATTTGAGCTTGACAGAATTTACACTGGGGACCACTGGCAATACCTCTTATGGCCCTTTGTCACACTATCCAGTTTAGATGTAGGTACTGAGTGCATCCCATGAGCTCAGCACTGCTTTGCAAGGTGAACAGCAACCAGATCAGTCACCCAACTATACTATAATACGGCAGGGAGGATTGCAGAACAGTCATTGCCACACTTGACAGTGACCACACTGTCCTAGGGCTTCTGAGGCAAAGCCGGCCATGGGAATCTGAATGGTTATCCAAGAGGTGACCTTAGCACCCTTACTAGAGAAACCACATCAGACCTGACTATGAGTTAGCAATTAAAGAGTATTAATTGAGGCTAGGCGCGTGGTTTATGCTTGTAATCGCAGCACTTTGGGAGGCCAAGGTAGGAGGATTACTTGAGCCCAGGAGTTTGAGACCAGTCTGGACAATATAGCAAGACTGCGTCTGTACAAAATAAAAAAAAACATTAGCTGGGTGTGGTGGTGCACACCTTAGTCCCAGCTACTAGGGAGACTGAGGTGGAAGGATCACCTGAGCCCAGGAGGTTGAGGCTGCAGTGAGCCTTGATCGTACCACTGCACTCCACTCTGGGCAATAGAGTGAGACTCCGACTCAAAAAAAAAAAAAAGTTGAGAGTGATCTTGTGACAAAATGCAAAAATGAAATCAGGTTTTGGTCTAGATGAGTGATTCTCAAACTTTTGCAATACATCATAAGCACTTGAAGGCTTTGCTATACCCCAGGCTGGGCCTTGCCTCAAGTTGCTGAGTTAGTAGGCCTGGAGAGGCCAGAATATATTTGTATTTCTGAGTCCTAGGTGACCCTGAAGTTGCTGGTGGGGAAACCATGCTTAAAAAACAGGTTTCAACAGAATTCATACATAAGTCTGGTTAGTTCACTGACTGGCTCATAAGCTGCCTGTCTCCATGAGCCTCAGCTCAGAACAGCCTTTAAGGCTCACACAGGCCAGCAGGAAATTTCCTTCCGCAGGACCATGTTAAATTTCCACCCAGATTTCCAAGAACTGGGTTTGGTTAACTTAGTGGGCCTTAAGCCAGGCCTGGGTTACAGCCCAGCCCTTCAAATCCCAGCATCCTTGGGGGCTTCAGGCTTTCCTTTCCTGCCAGCCTCAGATGGGTCATATGAGCAAGTCAAGAAGCAGCCATCAGCCTGATGCTTCCCTCAGCTTCCTGGGGCCACCGCATGGTTCAGCCACGCCTAATGCTAGTTTTGGGGCATAGAAAAAGAAAGCATTTCTTTTTTTTTGTTTGTTTTTGAGTTGGAGTCTTACTCTGTCGTCCAGACTGGAGTGCAGTGGCCGCTCCCGGCCACCGCAGCCTCGACCTGCTGGCCTCCGGCGATCCTTCTGCCTCAGCCTTCCCAGTAGCTGGAATTACAGGCGCACGACACCACGCCTGGCTAGTTTTTTGATTTTATTGTAGAGATGAGGTCTTGCCTGCCCAGGCGGGTCTCGAACCCGTGGGCTCAGGCAATCCACTCACCTCAGCCTCCCAAAGGTGCGGGATTATAGGCTGAGCCACCGAGCCTGGCTAAGAAAGCATTTCTTAAACCTTTTTAGGTTCCCAGGTGTTCAGAACAAACTGGATTTCAAGGACAAGGATAAAGACCTTTGAAAATGTTGAGATTAGGAAAATGCAGGAACTTGTTACAGGAGTGACTAGGATGAGCAGAGGGGAATGGAAAGGCATGGTATTTCGGAGAAAAACCTCCCATTTTTCACTTTCTGATGGGATTTCCTTGCTTTGTTATGGACAGCAAGTGGATTCCTCTGGGTGCAGAGAATTAATGATATTACCACCAGTCTAGCACCTAGTGATAATGCATATGATCAAAGCAACACTTTGGCTGACACCTATAATCCCAGCACTTTGGGAGGCATAGGCAGGCCACTTGAGGGTAGAAGTTTGAGACCAGCCTGGGTAACATAGCAAGATCTCATCTTTACAAAAAATAAAAAAATCAGTTGGGCTTGGTGGCACATGCCTGTAGGCTCAGCAAAGATCATGCCACTAGCACTTGAGGCTGGATGAGTAAGACTCAAACTCAAGAAAAAAAAAAAGTCAGGAAACAAAAACAAAGTAACCCTTTCTTAGTCAAAACCAAGAGTTCACTTACAGAGATGTGGTCTTGATAACTATAACTCACGAGCACAGTGCGTTTGCTCTGTGCCAAATCAAACACCCTTAGCACTAACCAAAAAAAGCCTAACGAGCTGTACCACCATGTGGCTCAGTAGGGAATATCTTGTGAGTGGAAACTGCACATTATTCTAAACCCTTCTCCCATAAATGACAGGGAGTTGCACAGAAGGCAGTGTGATTGGCAAAAAGCAGATGCTGCCACTGGAGACTGGCTCTCTGGAGTGGAACGGGTAGGCCTTCCGAGGAGCCAGTGCAGAGCCAAGCGCCACTGTTGCAGCACCCACCTGAAGTCCACCTGGGACTTGCAGCCTTCTAAAGGGAAAGGCAGATGGAAAAAAGTCCTTGTTAAAGAAACAGTTTATTTTAAAAAGCTCTAGTGTACACGCTGTGCTGAGTCCTTGGACAGAGAGTATTCTAAAGGGTTACTACCTGCACAGGGGTAAAGCTAGGTCTCAGTCAGGTCAGTCCTACTTCATCTGTTGTGCACTTTTGAGGAGATGGCAGTCTAGCTCCTGGTAGTAAGAAAAGGTAGGCTCCTAAGATTCATGTTTTAGCTTTTCTCACAAGTTAAGCAGAAGTCTCTGTCACGATTTCCCAGACCACAAAGTTTTAAGAGATGCTGGGATAGCAGCAAGTGAAGCTTGAATCCTGTGTTGACAAGCCCACACACCTTATTTCATTTAGTATCCAAGTGGTAACCACCAACTCTTCCATCCAGGACCGGAGTCTCTTAGGCTTTCCTGCCACGATTCTGAATCAGGTGAATGCTCCTTCCTCTAGGATTCAAGTGGCGAGCCTGTAGTTGGTGGGAGGCCCGCAGCTGCACCTTTCCTTCACATCTGAGCAGGAAGTCTGATTATACACCCAGCTACTCCCACGCCAGCAAGGGTGGGCACTTGGGGTGGCACTGGACTTTTGGGTTCCTCCTGAGGCACAGGCAGGGTTCCAGAGTTCTGGTGAGATGCCCAGGGCAGGGCCACTTCCCTGCCCTAGCTCTGGGCCAGCAATGTCCCCCGATTTGGCTGCACTAGCTCACAAGCTCTTAGCTGGGGTTCTGGCAGATGGGGCTCAGCTAGGAACAGGTTAAACAGTGTTGTCAATTCTTCAGAGAAGTCCTAGAATAAGTAGAAAGATGACAGAAAAGCCAGACATAAATTCTCGACAGTTCATCCCTTTTATAAAGATCAGTCCTAAACATCAAGCCCTAGCTAACCAGTGAGTAGAAAACAACCTGGCTATATTATCTTTTCCAACTGTCATCTACGTGGAGATAGACATGAAACCTTGTTTTATAGTACCTTGGGAGGTGAAAGTTGTGGCAGGAAGAATGAACTCTGATCAGGGGAGGCTCAGCTTTACCATCTACTGAGTACTACTGAATATATCTAGTTCACCTTGAAATTATTAGTCCCATTGAAAGATTAATTATTTTGCCCCCATCACAATGAAGTATGGCTGAGATTAAAATCCAGATTATTCTGATTTTATTTTATTTTTCAGTTGGAGTCTCACTCTGTCGCCCAGACTGGAGTGCAGTGGCCGCTCCTGGCCACGGCAGCCTCGACCTGCTGGCCTCCGGTGATCCTTCCGCCTCAGCCTTCCACGTAGCTGGAACTACAGGCGTGCACTACCATGCCCAGCTAATTTGTTTTTTTTAATTTATTGTAGAGATGAGGTCTCACCAAGTTGCCCAGGCGGGTCTCGAACCCGCAGGCTCAGGGAATCCACTCACCTCAGCCTCCCAGAGGCGCAGGATTACAGGCTGAGCCACCAAGCCCGGCTATTCTGATTTTAAAAACCTATATTCAGGCTGGGTGTGGTGGTTCACGCCTGTAATCCCAGCACTTTGGGAGGCCAAGGTGGGAGGATTGCTTAAGGCCAGGAGTTTGAGATCAGCCCAGGCAACATAGCAAGAGCTTGTCTCTACAGAAAATTTAAAAAATTAGCCAGGCTTGGTGGTGCATGCCTGTAATCCCAGCTGAGGAAGGAGGATCACCTCCCAGGAGGTCAGTGAGCCGTGATCATGCCACTGCACTCCAGCCTGGGCAACAGAGTAAGACCCTAACTAAAACAAAAAACAAAAAACAAACCCTAGCCAGGCATGGTGGCACGTGCCTGTAATTCCAGCTATTTGGAAGGCTGACGAGGAAGGATCATCTGAGCCCAGCAGGGTGAGGCTGTGGTGGCCGTGAGCGTGCCACTGCACTCCACCATGGGCGACAGAGTGAGATTCCAACTCAATAAAAATAAACCAAGCCGGGCTTGGTGGCTCAGCCTGTAATCCCGCGCCTTTGGGAGGCTGAGGTGAGTGGATTGCCTGAGCCCGCGGGTTAGAGACCCACCTGGGCAGCGAGACCTCATCTCTACAATAAATCAAAAATCATCTGGGCATGAAAAAAAAAAAAAAAAAACCCCAAAAAAACACCTCCATTCACTGCGCCACACTGCATTCTAATGACTGCCCTCCTTCCTTCCCTCTTCCCACTAACAGGGTCCCTCATACCATGGCTATTCAAACTAAAAGTGGCCAATCAGAACTCCTCAATTTCAGGGTGGTCCTAAAGACACATGAAAAAATCCACTTAGTTTGGCACCATCACTTGCTCCCTTGCGGGACAAATGGGATGGACAACACTTGCACTCTCTCCACGTAAGACAAGAGATGAGAGCTCCTTACCCCTGGCCACTGGGCCTCGTGGAGGCTGCCCAAGCAGGTCTCTATCTCCATCCGTCCCATCAGACCCTTCTCTACCAGCTCCCGGAGCAAGAACAGCAGCAGGTCCCACTGCAAGACACACCAAGAAGGTCAGGGGTCCTAGGAACACTGCTGGGAAGAGACTTAAGATAAATGGAGTCCATTTAAGCATGGAATAAGAAAGGGAGAATAAAGGAAACAATTTGGGTCAAGGACATGGACATTCAGAATGTAACTGCAGGGGGCTAAGCCGTCTTCCTGTTGCATCTTTCTGACTCACCTCCCTCGGCCTTGTGTCTGCCAGAAGCCCCACATTTCTGGGGCTCAGCAGCAGCTGTAGTGGGACCGGCCCCTGAAAGGCATCCTTCCACAGGGAAAGCAGCATGTGCAGAAGCCTTCGAGCCTGCCCTCTCTCCAGCCTGTGCTGTGCTGGGGGCCCTAGGATGGGAATTTGGTCTGCAACTATGGGAAGAGGGGAAAGCCAAGCTGTAAGAAATGCGGTGGGAGAGTGCTCTGTATGTCTCATCTTGCTTGTACCCAGCCCTGAGATTCGGGGGATCAGGCAAGAGTGATTTGATTGAAAGGAACCATACCAAGGAGGGAGGCTAATTCCACAGAGCACTTTGCCAGATGCTGCTCAGCAGGTGGGCACAGGAACTGCAGGGAAAAAGGAAGGAGACCCTAGACATCAGCATCATCCTTACTGCTGGGAGGACTGGCTCTAAGCCAGTATGGCTCTGGCTGTCAGGACTCATGCAAGGACACTCAGAAAAGCGTCTCTCGTGTCGCAGATGCCATGTCTCACCTGGCGGCACTGCAGTGTCTGGCCCAACTGGCCTAGGAGATGCTCCAGATGCTCTGGGGAGACTCCCTCGTCAGGGTCCCGCGGCCCCGCAGCCAGGGAGAGCACATCCTGTAGAGAGCAGGGTGAGACTTCACACAGGTCGGGGACTAGAATGCTAGAGAATTTGGCTTGAGATAGGGATCAGCCAGTGGAGAGGCAGAAGGAGAACAGGGCTGAGGGGCAGGGGTGAAGTGACAGGGCCAGGGTACCCCTAGATCTGGGACTCGGGTAGGCAGCACAGCCAGGGGAAGCAACCATGTGGACAACAAGAGAGAAAACAGAGCAGGTAGGCTGAGGGACGTGCTGCCAGAGAGCTCGAGAGATGTTACTCAATTTGGCACAAAACTAGCCAACTCCCACAGGTCATCTTAGAACATTTAGGGAACCTGTCCTAGCAGATACACAGTCCTAATATCTCCTCTCTTATCTCTCTAGTCATCTTCTCAGGAGAGTTGAGGTTTCAACACAGAAATCCTCTGCATGTTGAGAACCAGTACCAAATGGTACTTCTCTTCTTTCTCCTGTAGAATCTTCATTTTTAGTCACTGCGTCTTAGTCCCTATTCCAAACCTTTATTCCTAGTTCATCACCCTACACCAGGGCCAGATAGTAAATATTTTAGGCTTTGTGAGACATGTCTGTGTCCCAACTACTAGATTCTGCCACTGTAGCACAAAAGCAGCCATAACGAATGCATGTGGCTGTGTTCCAATAAAACTTTATTTACAGAAACAAGTGGCAAGCTTGATTTGATTCATGGACTGTTTGCTCTAGACAATCTTTTTATTTATTTATTTATTTTTTTTTTTTTTTTGAGTTGGAGTCTCACTCTCTTGCCCAGACTGGAGTGCAGTGGTTGCTCCCCGCCACCGCAGCCTCGACCTGCTGGGCTCCGGCGATTCTTCCGCCTCAGCCTTCCAAGTAGCAGGAATTACAGGCATGCGCTACCAGGCCCGGCTGATTTTTTGATTTATTGTAGAGATGAGGTCTCGCCAAGTTGCCCAGGCGGGTCTCAAACCCGCGGGCTCAGGCAATCCACTCACCCCAGCCTCCCAAAGCGCAGGATTACAGGCTGAGCCACTGAGCCCGGTGACTTTTTTTTTTTTTTTTTTTAAATGAGTTGGGGTCTCACTCTGTTGCCCAGGCTGCAGTGCAGTGGCACAATCATGGTTCACTGCAGCCTCAACCTCCTGGGCTCAGATGGTCCTTCTACCAAGCCTCCCAAGTAGCTGGGACTACAGGCATGTTCCACCACACCTGACTAAATTTTTGACTTTTTGTAGTGACAGGGTCTCGCTATGTTACCTAGGGTGGTGAATTTTCTTAACCAAGTTAGGAGAATTGATAATTTATTCTTACTGCCTGTAAACAAGCATCACCTCTCACCTAGAACATTATGAAGTCATATCTCAATACTGGGGTGACTTGCTCTTTTACTTTACTTTATAGCCATTCACTATCTAACGCCCATTACTATCTGTGTAATAAGCATTTAGTCAGAAATCTCATGTCTGCCCTTTTCCCCTTTTGGGTGATTCAAACACCAGAAGTCAGAGAGTAATAATTAGGAAAACCATTCAGTTCAGCTCTGCCCTACCTAATCCCATTCAGTAATGAATGAAACAGGAACTAGCCAGACAACACAGAAAGCTTCTACACAAAAATACGGGAGCTGATGTGAGAAAGGAGAGAGCCCAGGAATGGAGCAGGGAGCGGGAGAAGGGAAGCCAAAGGGGGAAAGGGTAGCTGTGTACTTTTATCTCGGAGATGAGGTGGGAGGGGAGGGGAGCATGGTGCTCACAAGCGCGGGAGCAGCCCCTCCGCTCTCCCCGGGCAGCAGGTTCAGGACCCTGGGCTCGAAGAGTGCGACTCACTGCTGCTTTCACCTCCCTCCTAATCAGCGCTGCAGGGCAGAGAGAACAGGAGGGGTCACCGCAGTGCCCTGTACAGGCTCACCATGCCAGCCCATGCCCTTCACCATTTCCTCCAGGCCCTTGAGTCCCATCTCCCCCCATGAGCCTCCTACCCCATGCCAGTCCACTTTGTGATAACTTGGTCCAGCTCTCCCCTTTCCCGGGCCTCACCTGTGATGTTGGCTGACAACCAAGCACAGGCTTTCTCTGTTGCAAGCCCCACAGCTATGTTCTCTGCACTGCTTAGAACCTGTGAGCCAGAAGAGCTACAGAGTTAGAGGCCGGGGAGGGCTGGGAACAACAATGGGTGCCAGAGTCTGGGAATGATCCACCCACCCTACAGGAGGCCCACGCAGGCGTGTGCACACACGGCTACTCCGTGCCCCTTGCCCACAACGCCTGGCCTGCTAGCTGCAGGCCTGTTGCCTACGTACGGCTGCTGGGGTCTCCTCTGGAAGCAGCGCCCGCACGGCCCCAGGGCTCTTCCTCTGGCAGAACCTAAAAGGAGGCAGAGGAAGTCGGTGACATCTGGATATCTTGGCCTGGCCCAAGTCAATGCCCTGAATGCACCGAACACCTGAACTGGGAGGCTCTGCTTCAGGAGGAAGCACTGTCTGCCCTCTGCCCCACCCCAGGTGCTGGAGAAACAAGAAGCCTGACCACCAGCCCTCCTGCAGCACACTCCCAAGCCAGTGCCTGGACTTCATGCCACAGAAGTCCTAAAGCCAAGGACATGCGTCTACAGAGAAGGGGAGAAAGAACCAGTGTGCAAGGGGAAAGGACAGAAAAAAAAGAGCTAAGAGGAGAGTGGAAGAGATGAAAGGGTTCAGGTGGATTGATGTTTCTTACTCCCGCCCCTGCGTCAGTGCCTGGGTCCCATGGGGGCACAGCTGGGAACACAAGATCTCCAACAGCTGGACTGGATCGCCCTCTTCCTGTCCTTGTGGCACCAGCTGCTCTTGGAGAAGTGACTCTGCCTTGTGCACCAGATCTGCCACCAGTGTGGCCCTGTGGCAAGAGACAGCAGGGTTTGGGGGTAGTTGGAAGAGTTGAATTGGTAAAGAGCTGCAAATTTAAGGAAATTTGGTCAGGGTTTCCTAAAATATGCTAGCAATTTCAGCCATCCACACCCACCCCTCCCCCCAGCTTACAACTGAGGAAAAGGGGTAAAAAGTTGTAAGGGAATGAGTGGGACCCTCAGCCCACTCTTACTTGATATGTTTGACACAGTTTGATCCAATTCTCTCTGCCACAAACTCTACAGTCCTGCGCAGGGAAGGTGGCTGGTTGTGGAAAAAGGCCTGGGCAAGCTGTGTCTGTGGGAGGAGGCAAAGGTCGTGAAGGCTTCCTCCCGCTTTCCCCACAGGGCTGTCTCCACCTTGCCCTTACCTGCAGCCCCTGGGAAGTCTGAGGAGGCTGCGCTCCCAGGCCAGTGGTGGTGGTAGGAGTGATTTTCCTCACGAAGCCCCCACTCCGTCCACTACTGCCTGATACCCACGAAGCAAGCAGTTTCCGGAGCTCACCTGCATCAGGGAAGTCCAAGTTCTCAGTTCCTGAACCTCCCTCCCCTCCCCCACGCATCCTGGACTTTAAGCATTTCTAGAGTTGAGGCTGAGGTACCCAGAGAATGCCTAAGAAAGAACAACACATGAGGGAGTCAGGCCGAAGGGGTGCCTTTTGGGTCCTCGTGGAGGGACACTGCCAAGGACCGTCTGGGGGAGATGGGGATGCTCACCAATGTAGGGACAGCAGGTATAGAGCAGCTGCTGGTCCACGACAGGCACGCTGTCCTGGAAGGGGAACAGGCCGGCGCTGGGCGGGAGCAGGCACGTTTCCCTTCCTCCCCAGCAAGCCCAGAAATGGCAGTTAGCAGGAGAACTCCTTTATGCCTGGGCTTCCCACGGCTCTGGCGAACCCCAACACTCACCAAGCCATGTTCTGAGGCTACTGTGTCTGCCTCAAAGGCATCCAACTGACCCTCTTCCAGAAAGAACAAATCTTCAGGGATTGTGGGAATCTGCCAAGAAATGAGGGCCGTCACCGCTCTGGTCAACTTCAGAGACTCCTCAGACCTCCCAGGCTCAGGTTCAAAGCAGCCTTGTTCTGAAGCTTCGGTCACCTCCACGCTACTTCTGGGCCTTCATCTTCGGGCCCCTGCCTCGTTCAACAGCAGACATCGTCCCACTCCCCATCTCCAGCCATGGGAGCCCCCCTCCCCTCCCTCTGGACCCTCATCCTGCCCACCTGGAAAAGCCAGCCTAGGACAGCGAGCAGCAGCAGCTTGTTCATGAAACACATCTCCCCTTCACTGTCCTGTGATAACACCAAGCTCCTGAAAGGTACATGGCATGTGAGCAGATTCGTGCAGACAGGAAGGGAATGGAGTGAAGGGTATCAGTGGGAAGGTCACTCGCAAAAGCAGACCCAAAAGGGACTGCAGTCATGTGGGCAACCAGGATCTCCTCAGCTTCCCCTCCCATGTCTACTCTCTCTCTCAGCTGGGCCACCTCAGGAACAGAACAGGGCCACTGAAAGTACAACTGGCCGCCCACGTCTGACTTTCAGGGAGCAATTCCTCCCCCTCCTCTGAGGCTGTTATGGCCATGGCACCAAGCACAGAGTGCAGACTGCCGGGCTCTCTTTAACGGCAGCCTGAGCAGTGGTCTCCCCCGGTCCTTTTCTCAAGCCTTCCTCTACTCACCGATGCAGGTGCAGCAGGAGAGCAAAGACACTTCGGTAGTAGTCTAGCAAAGGCGCGACGTGGTCAGCAAAGGAAAGGAACTCCACCAGCCAGGGCACGGTGAGCACTGCCCGGCCTGCCCGCAGCCCTTGCTGCAGCAGAGTTCGAACATCCAGGACCGGAGGGACCTGGGAGGGCCAATGCTCAGTCAGTGGGCAGGTGCCTAGGGACAGCTGGGTAATGCCCTCTAACCTGCCTGGTTTCCGGAACAGCCAAGAAAATCAGTCAGCTTCAGTCCTCCCAAGCTGGTCCTCCCATACCCCTCCTTACCAGAGTCTCCCACCCATTCACCTGGCTCCTGAGGGCCAGAATGGAGTCCTGCAGCTCTCCGGTTGGGGGTGGTTCAGGTCCCCGATATGGCAGGAAAGCCACAAAGCCCAGGAATTTAGCCAAAAGCCGCAGGCTAAGAAGCACCACAGCAAATTGCCTCCGTTCACCCTGCATGGAATCAAGGAAAGTGAAAGTTCCTAGGCATGAGGCTTCTACAACAATTCCAACCCTGTTATAAGTTCTTGAACATACCCCTTCCCTCCTAGGTCAGCCCGTTATCTCCCTTGTTTTCTAACCTGCCAGTCTACATCTGACTCCCCATCTTCATCACTGGGTTCGTGCTGAGGCAGGGCGAGGCCATTGAGCTCCCGGATCTTCAAGCTCAGACTGTCCATGAGATGCTGATTAAACTGAAAGCTAGGAAGGGGGTGGGGGAGGGTAAGCACTGGAAGAGGTGCATAAGAACCAGACAGGCAGAAGACCAAGGAGCAATGAAATTACCCACATGGATGCAAGAATGAGAAGTGAAATAAGCCAGAAAGCATGAGCTGGAAGGAGCCCAGAGACCACTTAGTGCCATCCTGTTATACTCCAGGCAAAGAAGAGTGGAAAACGATTTATCCTTTTGGGAAAACAAACCTCTCCTGGCCTCTGTCCCACTTCCTGCAAGGCATGGGAGACTTTTACCTGCTGGCACTCAGGATGAAGTCCCTAAAGAAGCCTTGACAGCCTGGGAAGGTGGGGGGTGGGCAGGGCCCCCCACCACTCTGAGGGGCCACAAGTCGCTCTTGCAGGCGCCGCAACCGCCCCAACTTGTCAGCTCCCAGCATACTCAGCACATCTGGGGCCTCACCCAAGACGGTGCCCCCAGCACCACCAAGGCTCTGACACATCTGAGGCAGGGAGAGGGCGGAGAGAAACCGAAGAACTAGTAAGTAGGAGGGACTGAACAAAATGAGAAAGTAATAAACATTTCAGGAACACCAACTCTCTGTCAAGTGCTTTAGAGACTTTTTTGAGGTAGGGGCTAGTCTTGCTTGATAGGTGAAGAAATGGAAACTATAAGGTTGAGCATGTGGCCAGGGTCACTAGAGGAAGGATATGAAACTGACCCTAACTACCAACCCCATGCTTTCCTACCACCAGACAGATCAAGGAGACGAAGGCCAGCAACAGGCTGTGCGAGGGAAGGGGGCACAGGACATGTGCAGAGGCTGGGTGAGGCAACGGGGTCCAGGGCACCTCAGAGGGCATTCTGGCTTTTCCTTCAGCCTCTGTCCGAGGAGTAGAAATCCTGATCATCTTCCAGCCCAGGACCTGCCTATCTGTCTGCCCTATGCCAAAGTGGCAGCCATTATTCGGCTGCCTACAATACGTACTGTTAATTGTAGACTGATCTGCTGGGGCTGTTACCTGGAGGAGTTGTTTTTGGAAAAGCCGAACAAAGTGGCCATGGCTGCAGGCTGTGGAGAGTTGACCCATCATGGCTCTGAGGAACAAAAAAGGCAGTATGCAGGAAGGAGCTAAGAGGGAGAAAGATCTGAGAGGACATGCCAGCCCCTTAGCTTTCTGGCCCTTTACCAGGGACTAGAGCGGATCTCTGCCAGAGATGGCCTGCACAGGGACATGGTAAAAGGTAAGGGACACGCCCCTCAGCACCGAGATCCCTCCAGGCCAGAGATACACTTAACCAAATGAGAAATAACGCCACCCCTCAAATCTTCAGTCCAAACTGAGAGCCAGTGGGTTTCATGGCCAAAGTGGAAGGTGGACTACTGGACAGAGGGCTTGCATTCTGCAACCTAGTCATCTACCTTGGCAAAGTTGTCAGACTTGCCCAAAGTCAATGACAGAGAAAACAGAGGTCGGAGGGGTCTAACCCGTGACTTGGGCCAAAACTCGAGCAACCTAGATTGAGAGCTTTGCACGTGTCCTACCATTTGCCATTACAGAACAATTATGAGGCACTTCTGAGTGGAAGGAGCTGGAGAGAGAAATCCCTTTTGAATAGAAGCAGAGTTGTTACTAACTAGAGAGATTTAGCAGGACAGAAGAAAATAGCTAGGAGGAGTAGGGAAAAGCCTTCCTCCCATCAGCTCCCCAGTCATCACTGAGCTGCCTCACTGTCAGAAGCAAGACAGAAAAAGTGACCAGTATATGAGCACCCACCTGATCCTGCTGCCCAAGCCCTTCTCAAAATCCCAGCCGGGCTCCTCATGGCGGTCTTCCCACTCTCGAAGCACCTCATAAAACACATCCCTGACACACACAAGAATGCCCGATCAGCTGAGATACAGTTGCCTCATTCCCAGGAGCACCTTCTCTTGCTTGGGAGAACCGAAGACAGAACTACCCACAGCCCCCGTGTTTGGTCACTCCAGAGTTCTCCACATGATCACAGTGCTACGGACCAGCAGCCCAGAGCACAGGCCTCACGCACTTCTGTGGACAGTGCAAGTTCATCCTGGCACACTCCTGCCAGAGAACCCTGACACTAAATTCATACACCTGTGAGATGACTGGCTGGGCTCGGGCTCAAGGCCACAGGCATGCAGCAGAGTAAAGCCAAGCAGCCCCGAGGGCTGGCAGGAAAAGCCTGTTGGGACTAACCCCCCATCTGTTAGTGCTGAACTCCTAGTTTCTTTTTTTTCTTTTCCAGTTGGAGTCTCACTCTGTCGCCCAGGCTGGAGTGCAGTGGCACACTCCCGGCCACCCCAGCGTCAACCTGCTGGGCTCCGGCGATCCTTCCGCCTCAGCCTTCCAAATGGCTGGAACTATAGGCATGCACTACCATGCCCGGCTAATTTTTTGATTTATTGTAGAGACGAGGTCTCAACATGTTACCCAGACTGGTCTCAAACCTGCAGGCTCCCAAAACGCTTTCCAGCCCCCCATACTCCATCCCTCGCCTCCCGCCAGCACCTGAACTCCTAGTTTCTATGAAAACAAAACAGCTGCCTATTCCAGAAAAAATGTCACCTCATCCCCTCCTCAAGAGTCTCTTTTTCTTATCACCTCTGTTTTTTAAAAGTATGAAAGGCTCGGTCACTGGAGAAGTTGGCACGATTGTCAGTCTCTGGCTGAAAGGAGACAGCTTGAGCAGAGGGTGGCATCACCAGAGAGACCTAAAATATGGCAGGGACATTAGGAACTAAAGCCTGCAGGGGTCATGCTTCGACAACTCTTCCCCCTCATTCTTGCCCAGAGTTAGCTCACAGGACACTTAAATGCTGTGAGCTGGGTTGCCTGAATTTATGCAGGGAAAGGTCAGGCCCAGGCTGGTAGGCATCTAAGCTGGGGTCACTACCTTGGCAACGCTGCCCTCATAGGCAGCTCGAAGGCGGCCTTGCAGAGCTGGTGAGAAGCACAGCAGCCGCTCATTCTCAGCCAGCAGCTTCAAGGTCCCTTTGTCCAGGTAGGAAAGAACCCTGCGGGGACAAGAGCACATATGACTGAGACTGGGACACAGACTGCAAACAGGAAGCAGGCACCTGCACACCACACAGAGCATATGGAACACATGGAACAAATTTGTAAGTCCAGGTACATACAGCAAGCCCATGGGTCCAGGATCAAAGAAAACGAAGGCAAAGGGAGTAGAAATGAGACCTCAGAGAGCAGGGACCAAGAGAGCAGGACAGGAACATTAGCCACGAACCCAAAGGTCAGCTGCCAGGACCACAGGGGTCTACTTGATTCTTTTAGGGGCTAAGTTCATAGCCTTGACACAAAATTCAAGGTTACAGGTAGGAAAAGGTCCAGGGCCACTGCACATGTGTTAAGCACACGCATGCATCCCAAGCAGTCAGAAAACCAAGCAGACAGGAATAAGGCCCAGTTGCCTCAGCCAGGGAAACTCACTGAAACTGATGCTCTAAAACCTGCACCGCAAAGAAGACACAATCGTGGATACTCTGGAACAGTGGACTTTCCAGGGAATCTAGAAGGATCATATCGGTTAACAGCTGTCCCATCTCCAGATCCCCATTTCCCAAAAGGAAGCTCACTGACCTACGCCACCTAGACTCAGCTCAAGGTCACTGTCCTTAGTGGGCACCATCCTCCGGGCAGTAAGGAGCTGAAGGACAAAGAAGAGCTCCAAGAAGAGGTTTGGTACGAGGTTCTCTGGACACAAAAGAAACCCCATGTATTAGGCACCATTCTGAGTCAAAGCTCAGTGTACGGGCCTTATCAATCCTCTTAGCCTGCGGTTCTACAAGTGGCTCCTCTACGCCAGCTCCCTCTGCTCTCACTCACCAGCAATGCATGAGGAGTAAACAAGGGCCACCAGCTCCAGACGCGGCCTGGAAGACACTCTGGCAGGATCAGCGGGTTCATCTGGGAGGCTTCCTGCCCGGCTGGGGAGGGACGACCCCAGTTCTGGGGTGGGACAGGTGGGGTTAGGTGACTGCTGCGGCTGCTTAGAGCTGTGGGGATAAAGAGATGTCATGAGCCGTCAGCCTGCTTCCCCACCACAGCCACACTCAGGTCCCTCCAGAGAAGACATCAACAGCCCACGCAACAAACCCGAAGTCCCCAAGGGGGAGATCAGTTTCAGGGAAAAGTCCTGAAGATCCCCCACAGGGAGGAAGTTGACATCCCCGGGAGCGGCAAGGCCATACCGCTCCTTCCTGAGCATCTCCCGCTCCTCTTGCAGACTTCTGCACCCTGGGGAAAGGCCAAGGCCCCAAGGGCTAGTGTCCAGGGCTGAGGGTTGGGAACTGGGGACACAGCTGATGGGGGGTGAGGTGAAGCAGGTCTTGGGCTTGGAGAGTGACCGCTCCTCGCTCACCGGGGTTGGGTTGATCCTGCGTGAAGGCTTCGTCCTGCTGAGAGTAGCCACAGGCTTTTCTCAAATTCCTATCTTCAAACATCTCCCCCTCCACCACCACAACAGCTGGGCCTCTTGCAAAAAAAAAAAAAAAAAAACCCCCCCCC